AGACATTCTGCTGGGGCATAGACTGGTGTGAAAGCATTGGCTAACTCAAGGAACATGTGTTACAATTCATTTTGAATGGAAAAGGGGCTGCTGTTTCAACAAAAAAAAATACAGACCCACAGAGTGAGCAGAGAGGGAAAGCAGGGCAGGACTGGCACCCAGTATTTCAGATGAGTTGATACTGGAGTTGTCTCTTGGTGTGTGTGTGTGTGTGGTCAGACACATAGGATTCTGCTCAGCATGGTGAATAGCAAACTGACTTCTCTGCAGCAAGGCAAGCCAGCTCAAGGAGCTGAGGTGGGATGTTTACATACATCTGAAAATTCCATCCTATTTTTTGCATCTTCCAGCTCTGAAACAGGTCAGACACTGGTAAGTCTAATGGTACAGAACATGGTGTCTCTGCTGCCTTGGCCTGCTGCTGAACTCCATACCTGGCATAAGCAGAAAAAGCATCCTGTTCATTTGAAATGATTTAACGTTTACTGTTTTCCCCTCTGTTACTGTGGAGGACTTTCTTACAGTGATCCCTAGTGGATAGTTACCATATACTTAAAATGCAGGCTCTGTAAAAACCAGGAAAAGAAAACACCCTTTATGATCAAAAAATGTTTTGTACAGTAAAAAAGCCCACGCTGTTATTTTTGCATTGAATGTATCAAAATTACTTGTCCAAAATGAAGTTTCTGTCCTGTCCTAGCTGTAGTAAGAGGTAGAAGGGAAATGGTATAGCTCAATAAAACTGTGATTACTCAGGTCTGTTTCCATAATGGGACATAATACAATAGTTAAAAGGGGCTGTAGAAACTATTAACTGCTTGATGGATGCTTGTTGTAATTTGTTTCATATTTAAAAACTGTTAATTTAAAAAATGGAAACAAAGGAGAAGCTATATAAAAGTAATCAAATGCTGTTCCTGGAAGTGAATTTTTCAAGCAGGGTAGGTGGGGGAAAGTCATGCCACCTCTTTAACTCCATGGATGCCAGGCATTTCCCATGCAGGCATTTCTCTGCAGCATGGATGCTGGAAGTGAATGTCTTGTGAACGATCCACTTCATGGAGCTGTGCACACTGTAACATTTGTGCTAATTGCTTTGACGAGGGTAAATTCAACACAGGTCAAATTCTGGCGGGTTCTGGAACCCCGTTGATAATTTCCCCTTCATCGATTAAGGAGAAAATTTCTGCCTTTTTAATTTCTTAGGTCCCTGCATTCGAGTGCACGCTGTGTTCCGTTCAGGTTGAGGTAATGGGAAAGGCAGACTGTTTCCCAGGAATCCAAAATAAACATTTATCTTGGTACCTTACGAAAAACATGAAGGAAAGGAAGCGTGTTGGGCCTACAGAAGTGATACAGTCTTTTTACACGGGGATAATTTATTGATTCTTGGGCTTTTGTGAAAGGAGAGTTCATTGAGGTGTATGACCTAATTAAATAGGCTGGAACAATTCTGATTCTGGCATTTTTCTTAAAGCTGAATATATCCTGTTACGTGTTTGTGCAGAATGAGCAAAGGTGGCATTCAGGACTCCAACCACCCACGTTGCTTGTTGTAATAAACCATCTGCCATAATTCTTAGTAATTTCAGGGTGACCTGTGCAGATTTTAACCCATAACTGTAACTATTAAACAGAACAGACAGCATGGGGTTTGGTTCTTTTTTTTTTTCCCCTTTAACTGCCTTTAATCAGTGATATCTGGTGAAGCTTGAGTATGAAGCTTGAGTACTTCAGCTTTCTGAACCAAGTGTAGTGTGAAAAGAAAGAAAGGATTCATCATTATCTGTCCCTCCTCAAGCTAATGATGGTGTGCCAGGTGAGTTACTGTGCCCTCAGGTGATGGGGAGGTTTTTGGGAGCTTGGAGTTCAAGTGCTCCTCCTTGAAAGGAGAACACACCAAAATACTTTTGTGTGTGTTCCTACATCACTTATGTCGTGTGGTTTTGTGTCTCAGAGTTGCAGAGTTTTCTAACCATCCTGTTGATGTGCATTCTAAAGACTGAGTAGTATTTAATAGACTTTTAGTGCTGGTGTATTTTGACGCAAGGAACAGGCAAAGGAAAGTGGGAAGGTTTGTTGCATGTAGGGTGGAAAACAAGGCAGCAGAACTTCTTCCTGGGAAGCTCTTGAATATCATACAGCCCTGCCCTGCTGCTGAACTGAAGGTGTTTTGTTTTTTTTTTTAATGGGCTTGGGTTGTTCCAGCTCCAGTTTTTTTTTACAGATAACCTCCAGGCTTGATGTGGAAAATAGGGTCCCATAGCCTAAGCCTTCTTTATGGCTTTGGGGAAACACGTGTAGCAAGAACTTGTCTGGAAAAAAACCAGTTACAATAGAAAGTGTGCAGTGTGTGAGGGTGCAGATCCATTCATATACTGTTACAAGGAAAGGAGGAAACAAAATATTTCCAGGAAAGAAAGTCTTACCAGTGTACACCATGCCCAAGGAAACGTGCCCTGTGATCTGTGCCTTCAGGGACAAAGCATAAGGGGAAAGGAGTCTGACAAAGCCAATTGGGATGCTGTTGGCATTGTGCTTAGAGGTTTGCTAAGGAAGAGACTGAAAGTATCCCCTCAGCCCTGGGTGGCTGTGCTCTGAAGGTGGGTGCTCACCAGCTCTCAGCATTAAATGAGTCAAGAATCAGTGCTTTCATCTGTGTGCTGTAAGGGACAGCAAGCACACGGATGGCTGTGGGAAGTGACAGAACAACGAGTTTTATGTAATGCAGCATAATGAAACACCTGCTTCTGTGAGAGAGGCACGGGTCGAGTGAGAAGGAATTAAGATGAGTGTTATTTTTAACAGCTTAGCCAGCACTCACAAATTGACTTAGGAAGCAAAGGCCACGAGTTCACCAGCAGTTGTCACTTCAGGCCAGTTCCTTATTAAACAACTTCAACATTATAAAATCACAGTAAACTCAGAAGCCCTGCAGTTTCCATGTGCTGTGTGTGTGGTAAAACGCAAGCATCAGACGCAAGTAAATCTCAGCCTTCAAATCTTTAGAAGTATTTTTCTAGAATAATATATATCTGAGTTCATCAGTAAGCAGAGGGCTGCTGAAATGTGTTTGGCACTGGTCCCTGCTGCCTCCAAACACAGCTGAACAAACAGCCTGCAGCTCACACAGGAAGGCAGGCAGTTGGGTAGGAGGGCAGTAAGGGACAGCATGGTAGGCATGGTGTCCTAGCAAGGCACACAGTGTCACCTCTGTGCTCATAGAGCTGCTAGGAACTGTGCTTTGAAGGTGGTTATCCTATGGTTGGGGGGAAAGAAAGACCTTTCTAGTTTTCTGGCACATGTTAGATGACTGAAATGACTTTGAGTAAACTTAATGTAAAGTTTCATGTGTCTTAAAGAAAAACTCAGGTTGGGAATTAGACATTCAGGGCTCTTGGAAAGAAAGAAAAATCTGCGGGCTTCTCTTTAATGGCAGTTATTGTTTCCAGGAAGGCCTTTTCTGGAATAAGGTCATTAGGAAGTGTTAGTAATGTGGTCATTTGGCTCTGTTTATGGCATGGTTTTGCTCTTGGTGACTTTGCTGTTTTAGCATGCGCTTTCCCTGTGTTAAACTTGCAGTAAGCTGGGAGGCTGCAGGAGGCTGAGCACAGGGTCTGCAGGCTGCACATGAGGGAAGTGTGCACAGGACCAGATGAGTTTTGAGCAGTGCAGTTGACTGAGGGCACACCTGCAGCTTGCGTGGTTTTACAAATACTGTTAACTTCAAGGTATGGAATAACTGCCATTTATTTTAGCTGTGCAGTGTGAAATGCTATGACTAGAGACAGCATTAGGAGCAGAGACTCTAGATACAGCCAGAGGTGAGAGAGAAGTATCTCAAAGGGAGTGATTTGGAGAACTGCACTAGAAGGTGGCGGTGGAGCATCCAGAGCAGCTCCCAGGCAGCAGCAGAATCCTATGATGAGCAGCTCTGATGGATGCTTTTGGTGCAGAGCATCATGAGAAGGGATGCTTCTGCTTCTCCAGCTTTTCAGAGACCATAATCATCTCCCTCTCAGTTCAGAGGCTATAATCATGTTCAAAGGAGTTGAACAGGTCCTTTTTTCAGTGCGGTGGTTTGGGACTTGCAGCAATATTGAGTAAACACCAATCCACAATGTCCTTGTGCCAGGCACTGGAGTGATGCAGGGACAGTCCAGCTGTGCCCCATAGAGTACACAGCTGGAGCATGCAGGGAGAGGATGGGTAGATGGATGTGTGATTTACAGGGTGGGCGTAGAATCATAGGATCATAGAATCATAGAATGGCTTGGGTTGAAAAGGCCCACAATGCTTATCCAGTTCCAACCCCCTGCTGTGTGCAGGGTCGCCAACCAGCAGCCCAGGCTGCCCAGAGCCACATCCAGCCTGGCCTTGAATGCCTGCAGGGATGGGGCATCCACGGCCTCCTTGGGCAACCTGTTCCAGTGCCTCACCACCCTCTGAGTGCAAAACTTATCCTAATATCCAACCTCCTGTCTCAGTTGGCAGCCGGTGCCAGCAGCAGGTTGATAACAAAAGTGATGTCATTATTATGTGAGATTGTGTTTAATGGTGCCACATTAAGCCTCTTTCAATATATAGAAACACATTGAAGTTAAACACAGCAGAACGAGGAGGAGGTCTCCCTCCAGTACTCCCTTCACACCCACTGCTCTGGGAAAGATCTTGATGAGAACATCAGGAAGATGAGGTCATTTATGGGATCAAATGCTATGTTTAATTTTGAGCGCTCCTGATCGGAAAAGCAAGTGAATATTGCCAAGGTTACTGTAGTTTTGTAGCAGTTCTCCTTAGCAGTGGTGGCTTGGATATGATACTCTTTCTGCTCATCTGATTCTAAACTGATGCTGCATTCTTCTCCCTTTCATTTCAAACTGTGAACACTGTGTAAAGATTTCTCCTCTTAGCTAGCAGTGTCTAAAGCATTCTTCATTTGACACCTTGTGTACAACAAAAGTTTTTCCTCATCTTGATGTTTTTCTCCTTTCTGCCAGGAGAAGCCTTTTGTATCAGAAGCAGCGAGGAAGAAAGAGAGGGACTTGGTAGCCAAAGAAGTGGAGAAGTTTCGGGACTCTATTCAGACTCTGTGCCGCAGTGCCTTTACGCTTGGCAGGATCATGGACTACGTTCAAGAAGACATGGATGCCATGAAGAACGAGTTGCAGATGTGGCGGCACGAGAACAGACAGCATGCAGAAGCTCTGCAGAAAGAGCAGAGGTGAGAGTGGTCAGGGAAAGTCTGGTTTATCTCTCGAGACAGATCTGTTTCTAGCAGAGGGGAGAGTTTCATTCACTACAAAATGCAAATTTAGCATTCTGCTGTGGTTTGGGGAATTTTCTTTGCAGTCAGAACTTTTTGAAGTGTTAAGATCTTTCCAGCTAATGTCATGTGATGTACATGGCAGCAGCTATGCACATGTTGAGTTGAGATGAGAAAGCTTAACGTCCTGCTTTTTTTTTTCTTGTCACAAATACATGTGGAGCAATGGGGAGGAATAGGTTAGTAGGCCTGGTAGGTTCTGAGTTTCTAAATCACAAACTGCTTTCTTTGTGCCACTGAAATCTGTGTGTTCTGCAGCAATGTCAATAACAGCTGTTGTCTGTGCATGGTTTGAAATCAACATCAGAAAGCCAGGAGAATGAAGGTAATATGCCCAAGGAGGTCAAGCCAAGGAAGGGATGCTTCAGCCTTACTTGCCTCACTAGTATGTCTTTTTATTCTCCTTGCAAACAGAACTACCATCCCAATTACACATAATGTGATCTTAAAAATGATCTCAGATACTGAAGATTAATTTTTATCTTCATGGATTCCAGTGTAGGTAACTTTGCTGCTCCATGAATTTAATTCCTGCAGAAGCAAGTATGTCACTGAGTGGTGTTTTTAGCTGAGTTTTATCTGGGTAGGTAGCAATGTGTTAATTGTTGGAAGTTTTACAGCTGCTGGCTTAGTGGGACTGGGGTAGGAATTAGGATTTGGGTTCGCATATAAAGCCTAATGATGTTAATTCCTTGCACTTACATAGCACCTTCTTAAACTGTGGTTGGCCTTAGAATGCATTACCTCTGCAAAGAGAAAGGAAATGGCACTGGGCTTTATTTTACAGCTGGAGAAACTGAGGCACTGATCTGCTTGCCTTTGCCCAGCCAACTCGAACCAACCCTGGTGACAGGGAGCAAACCAGCATCACTGCAGCAGAGCCACTCAGCTCTCTTTCACTGCTGCAAAATATTACAGCACTTAGCAGGGGTTGCTGTGAGATCCTCATCAGATCAGTGTAGTGCTATGACTTGTCAGATCCTTCAGGGAAGAATTACACAATATCTGACATGAAGAAAGCAATGCTTCCCATATGTAATGGACTTTGGATGCATCTTTTTGTTTGTTTGTTTGTTTTTTGCTTCTGTGAAAGACAATTGAAGGATCCCATTAGGGAAATGCTAGAATTTCTAATGATATTTTTTGTGATTTTATCCCAATGGTGTAGAAAGGAGGAGAAAACTAAATAATTATGAGATGCAGACTTTAGCTGATGAGTCCTCACAGTGACTGGGTAATTCAGAATGACAGCAGGCTAGTTCTGTCCATCAACTCCCTGGCTGCTAAGCGTTATGGAAAGGGGCACACTGGTTTTAGAGCCAAACAGTCCCATTCCCTTCAGATATATCAGTGTGCTAGTGGTGTTATTAGCGTCCAATTCCTGTTTATTAAATTTCCTGTTATTGTGGGATTGCCTGCCCTTGCCAGCAGCTATTGAGGGGCCAGTTTTCTTGTACCTTACCTCTTAGATATCTACTTGCTGCAGCTTGATGCTGCTGGCAGGCAGTGCTGTGCTGCTGGCTAATTGTAGGAAATAGCTGGTATCAGGCCATCAGCCCCCACAGCAATTGTATTTGTTCCTTGCAGTGTGCCTCTTCTCCCCTTTAAATGCCTGTTGTGAGGCCTGGAGGGATGGCTGAGGCCATGTGCATTATGGTAAGATACAGGAGCCCCAGTAAAAAGTGGGTGTTGTTCTTATGCTCTGTCCTACACAATCAAGTCCCACCTTGTCCCTGAGCCAGGCACTTGCAGCTCTTGGCTGGTAAGTAAAAGACGTGCTTGACACACACTCATGATGGAGCAGAATAACTGCACAGCACAGAGATTTTAACAGAAAAGCTAGATTAGACAAGAGATTACTGTTTGCTGTTGAATTGTGGGGGATTTTTTCCTGAACAGTGTTCTTCTCTGTGGTGTTAGCTTTGCCTTTGTGCTTCTCCTCCTAAACTTTCTTTCAGGAAGGGTGAGCACAACTCAAATTCTATGCAAACTTTTAAGTATTGAATGTACATTCTTGGAGGCTTAAGTAACCTGAAGCAGCATAACGTTTCCAGTAACACAATACTTTGTGTCTCTTTCAGCATCACGGACAGTGCTGTAGAACCACTAAAAGCTGAACTGGCTGAGCTGGACCAGCTGATTGAAGACCAGCAAGACAAGATTCGTGCTGTTAAAGCTAATATTTTAAAGAATGAGGACAAAATCCGGAGGATGGTACTTAGCATAAACCTGTCTTCAAGAAGGTGAAGAAGGGAGGGAAAAAAAAAGCCTTGGGACTGATAGACTGATATTCCTACCAAATAAAAATTCCTACCAAATAGTGGAGAAAAGTAAAGAGATGCCTTGTTGGGATGTAAAGTGGCGAGAGACTGGGAGCCTAAGAGTTATATAAAATACCATTGATCTTTAGATGTTGATATTACTGTGGATAAAATTATGTCCATTTGAATGCTCAAGGTGCAGAGCTATTAAAATAACTTGTTTGTTTAAATGTGAACTGCTGTTATTCACTTGCCAGGTCTTCACTGCCCTCTTTCCCTCCATGGCCTGTTGAGCAATGTTTCTGAGTCAGTTCTCTATGCATCTCCTTCCTCCCTTCGTGTCCACCGAGGTTACTTTTCAACGTGAGCAGGTCAGGGGATTCCTGAATCTTGCAAAGTAAGCTACAAAAGAATGCCACAAGACCAAGAGGTAAAGCCTTGTGTCACTTGCAGTTCCTTGCATCGTTACGGAGATGATGTCATGTTTTCAGAGCTATCAGGAATCTTATTAGGGAGGACTGAAAATGCAATACAAGCATCACGGTGTAAGGGAGCAGAAGTACTTTATCTGCACAGGTGTTAATGCCATTTTTATTGCGTATGTTCATTTGGAAAGGATTAATTTAAGTACCTGTTTCCTCCCAAATGCATGTTCCTGCAACTTTTTGTACGTGAATAATAATTCCTCTGTTTTTTTTTATTTAACTGCAGATGTCTGTACTGTTTTCCTAATGACCTCTTGTTTGTAGTTTTTACTTATTCCTAAATCTGCAAAGTGTGTTAGCATAGACACAACTATATGACACTGCCCTGAGCACAGAATGCTTTAGTCCCCTGCAAGGCTGTTCTCTTAAGATTTTTACAGTGTGTGAGTACATCCACTCCCATGTTGTTTGGATTATGTATGAAGTGGCAGTGTCCTCTTTTTCCTTCTTTTGCTGTTTTTTTTTTTTTTTTCTTTCTTATTTTTCCTGATATCTGGGCCTCAAAAAATCTACCAAAAGGATAACCACCAAATGATGTGAGTATTTAATACACAAATATGAACGTCTTAAAGGGTTTTACATGTTTGTTTAAATAACTTAGTGGGGAAGATTTTATTTTTTTCCTGGGTAGTCACCTGTGGTTACACCTAGAGGTAGTCTGCCCCAGAACTTGGACTGTGAAAGGAATTCCGTGCTTTGTGGATGAAAAGTGACTCATTTTCTAAGCTCAAAGTAATCAACAGCACATTGCACCTAGGAGTTGCATCCTAGCTTTGGTCACTAAGGGCAGGATGCTTTGCTGCATGATGTTTTGGTCAGATTGGAGAGCAAGCAGGGAACTGTGAGACAGTATGTGAAGTGTTTGATCCCTTCTGAACAGTACATAGCACTGTGCTCTGTGCTTTTGAATTGTCATCTCAACTTTTTATTTGGTGAAGCAGTATCTCTACAGGAAAGAAGGAGACAGACTCTTTAGCGGGGTCTGTGGTGACAAAACAAGGGGAAATGGTTTCAAAGAGAGGAGATTGAGGTTAGATATAACTGGAACAGATTGCCCAGTGTTGTGGTTGATGCTCCGTCCCTGGAGACTTTCAAGGCGAGGCTGGCTCAGGCCCTGGGCAACCTGATCTAGCTGTGGTGTCCCTGTGAATTGCAGGGGAGTTGGATTGGATGGCTCTCAGAGGTCCCTCCCAACTCTAAGGATTGTGTGACCCTATTCTGTGTAGAGGCCAGAAAAGCAAGACTCCTGCTGGGAGCTCTTTGTTGCCACCTCCTGCAACTGTGCATCGATTCTCACCCAAGTTTGGAGCCTGTCCACTGTCTTCCAGGTCTGATCACAGCCAAAGATGTTCATGATGCCTACCACAAAGCCCAGAGCTCAGGACTGGTGATGCAGTTTGTGTTTCTCCATGCAGGATAACGTTGCCTTAGCAGTGCTGGGAGTGCAATGATGTGACCAGGCTGTGTCCAGCCCCGTGCAGTCTTGGCATGGAGAATTTCTTGACCACTGATGACTTCCAGTTCTGAGGTTTGTGCTTTTGTAGCTCAAATAAACATCTTTGCCTCGTGAAGTGGAAAGAGAGACTCTGTGAGAATAGGTATGGATGAGTGTATCTGCACAGCTGCTTGTGACTCTTGCACATGCTACACTGCCTATGCCTTGAGCTTGCCTTTCAGCTGTGGGTGGTTCATTAGCAAGGGAGACTTTGCTAGTGCAGTGATTTGGGATTTAAAACCCTTACACTGTCAGGCCCCTTTAGAGCTAATGGAACCTGACGGGTCTGGGAAGCAGGACTTGTACTTTATGACATGCCTGACATTCCTCTCTCTTGTGTGGGTCAGGAAATGGCTGCCAACCCTTCTGGTTTAGGATTGGGGAGTGTTTCTCAGCCAGAAAGGTTCAGCTGTTGGCTGGACCCTACTGGAAGGCTGTGAGGTCTTCTCCAGGCTGAACGACAAGCCCAGCTCCTTCAGCCTGTCTCCACAGAAGTGATGCTCCAGCCCCCTCATCATCCTCCTGGCCCTCCTCTGGATCCACTCCGTGTTCATAGGGCACTGCAGGTGGGGTTACTGGTGTCAGAACTTACATGTGATTTGTCTCACCCACTCAAGAATTAGGAGTCCTTCAGTCTTAAACTTTGCACTTTAGCTACAAGAACAGATCTCTTCCATCCAATAAAGGCCCTCTGGTTTCTGGGAAAACCCCAAAATGTCAGTCCTCACTGGCACTCTCCAAGTGCAGTTTCTCTAACTCAACCTGCTTGAGAGTGGCAGAATTCAGTCTAGTTTTGGCTCTGATGGCACACTGTCCTACTTGGAAGTACACAGATGTGTAATTAAGTTTTGCAAATGAGTGGCTCTTGCCAGATCTGGCACTCAAACGCTTGTGTTTCAGGCTTTGTGGTAAATGCTCAGTGGTTTGACTATTTCCAAATGTGAGCTTCAGGCTGCCTGCTGACTCAGGAAGACAGTGCTACCATTATCCTCACCACCCTGAGAAAAAGGAACACCAGCAGTGTTGTTGTTCAGCTTAGAAGTCTGGAATTCCTGCTCACATGTGTGTAATGCAAGACATCCCATCTGCAATGGAGCTGTGGAGCACACATCCCTGAGTCAGATTTGGGTTCTTCTCCATTGACTTGCTTGCCTGTTTTTGCTATAGCTACCTCTGGTTTGGCTCAGCAGTGCTGTGTTGCCTTGCTGCTGGAGATCTGAAGACCAGATGGAAACTCCTTTTGGCAGAGAGTGCTTCCTAAGCCAGAAGGACTGAGAGACACGTTGTTGCTTCCTCCATAGCATGTTCTTTCTTTCAGCTGCCTCCTTGCTGCAATTTGCTGTATAGGATTTCTTCCTCCATGAAGTCAGAATAGTTGTGAGGCCTCAAAGATGCTCTCTTGCCTCTTGAGTTACTTCCCTTGAGCACATCTTGGAACATAAGAGGGAAAAATGCCAATTACTTCCAAATGCATTAGAATTGCAAAGCTCTAGTATCCTGTGTCTTTAGAGCAAAGCCTGGCATTTGTGAAGCCAGCCAACCCATATGTGATTTAGGGGATGCAGCCCACTGAAAGCTAATTGAAAATTAGCTCCTAAGCAGCTTCACTTCAAAAGTTAAAAAGAATCAGTGCTTTTATTTCTCCCCAGCAAGTGTGAAGATGAGTGCATCTACTATTTCTAGTGGATTGGGTTGCTGCTGGACATGGAATGATCTCCAGCTCTCAGAAAACCCCCACGGTGCCCAGAGAACTGCCCACCTGGCCAAGGCATTCCTCTTCTAACACATTTCCTGCCCTGTTTGGTGAGAAAATACGAAGAAATAACATTTCCGTTTTCCAGCATGAAATTTAATTAGAAGAAATTAAAAGGTGTAGTTTATAGTTTAATTTAACGCGATGAAAAAAAGGATTGGTTTCCTCCCATTACTGCCCAAATCCCAACCTGAGACGATGGCAGCCAGGCCTCGAATTGCATCCGACGGCCACAGAAGTGAAATGCTTACCAGGAAGAAAAGAGAGAGAACTTCCACTTCAGATTTATGACTTGTGAAGCAGAGGTTGCACGGGTTAGTGTTAATTTATGTTGCACAGACTTGACTTTGTTGTGTGCCCGGGAATGGGCTGAAAACTGATTTTGTTGGCTGCTTTTACAGGTCACATGCGTGCTTAGGTTCTATTTCGGGCCACTGAGGCTCTTGGTTTTGTATACACAGCGAAATGTGTGTTCAGACATGGGGAGTGTGTGTGCTTGTCCCTGCGAGGCAGGGTTCTCCCTCCCAGGTCGTTTCCCCTTTTTGGCATTTGTTTGGATTGTGGCAGCAGTCGAGGAGCATCAGGAAGAAAATGAATGTGTGGGGCCTGTTGGTACCGTAGAGTTTTCCCCCTGGTTGAAGTCAGTTCAGCAGCAAATTCTGGTGCTGGGCCCTGCAGGGGAGCCCCTCTGCATGGCAGCCCTCCCTCAAGCGCTTCTGTCATGACTTTTCCAAAGCCACCACTTGCTGTTGAGGTTGAGAACCCAGATGTGGCTTCTTCCTTAAGGATCTCTCAGCCTCAAGGTAAACTGATGGCAGGACAGCTTTCCTCACACTCACAGTTCCAGTGTCTTTGTCCAAAAGAAACCTTTGGGGAATCCTTACACATCTCATGCCTTCAGCAGAACCATTGAGTAGCAGTAGTAGTTGAGCTGATTATTTCTCTTAGAGGTGAGAGGTGGGAAAGCCAGGCCTGTGCACTCACCTTCCTGAGCTTCTGCCATCTGCCAGAAGAGCCACTTCCAGACAACCAGATACAAACGGGAAGGACTTTTATGAATTTAATGGAAAAGGCATATTTTAACAGAGCTCTTTCTGTTTCAGAAGGCTGACTTGGTCTAAAAGGAAGTGGATGGGAAATGGTAAAGGCAAGCAGCGTGAAGGAGCTGCACAGTATCTCTCAATTCCTGGGCTGGCAGCCTAGCCACAGGGACAATTTTCTGGCTAACAGCTTTAAACTGGATTAGAGGTGCTTAATTTGTTCTGTACTTTCAGGTTTCTCTGTTTTTGGAACAGTGTCTGCTGGTGCTGGAGACCAAGAGTCGGCTGTGCTTGGGAGGAG